TACCACTGACCTTATAACTGTTTGTCAAGCAATATTTCATATTAGCTGCATAGCCACGGGCATGGCTATCCCCAATGATCATTACTTTCCGTTGTTCTTTATTTATTTATTGCTTTATTGCCATTGCTTTTCAACTTTTCTTTAGAATACTCCATTAGTAAGGTCCAAGAAATACAGGTAGGATTACAGTTGATTGTGACATATCAGCTTCTGGTCCATGGTGGTGTTCATTTATTGGGAGATAACACAAAAATCATAAACACAAGTTCAGTTAGATGCTAATGAGGGTGGCGGTCTGGAAGATAGCAGAGAAAACGCAAGTATATATATATATATATATATATCTGTTTGTGTTTTGGCACTAGAATGCAGGTGAAAATCAGAAGATTGACATAGCTAATTGAACTTTTGAAAATGTGGCGAAGTTTGAATATTGGGGAATGACAGTAACAGACCAAATTTTGTTTCTTGTGGAAATTAAGAGTAGATATAATTTTGGAAGTGCTTGCTGCCATTCATATTACCATGATCAAGTCAAGGAGGGTGAGATGGGCAGGGCATGTAGTACATTTAGGAGAGGAGTGTATAAAAGATTTTTGTAGGAAAACATGAAGGAAAATGACCAGTAGAAGGTAACTGAGAGAAATAGGTTATGTGGGGTGGGGATGCAGACTGGATTCTTCTGACCCGGGTTAGAAACCTGTGGTGGGGTCTTAAGACTCTTTGGATACCATAAAGTTCTGGGAACTTCTTGTGTGGTTGAGCAGCTGTTGGCTTTTCGAGAAGGACTACACTGTGTGCAGTTATTTAGTCAGCTTTTTACATTTATCGAAGTACAGTTTCGGTTTAATGAATGGAAGGAAAACATGCATTCTAGCAGTAATTGTAGTCAAAATGTAAGATTTCATTTGTGAAGGATTATAATGAGGACCAGACCGCCATGGTGGTTGTATCGGTATCGTGTAGAGCATGTATAAGAGCTCATGATGAGTTCCTTCACCAGGATTTGCCTGAAAAGAGAACGGGTGTGGAGTTGGAGTTGGATTATCCTTGGGATCAAATGGAAGAACAGCAGTATCCTTGTGTATATCTGACAAACATGAGTGTAATCTGTGACGTAGTGGCATAAAAAATTGTCAGACAAAATAATTTAGGCAACAAACTGTTAGTTTTCGGTTTCCCATAGATCGAATGATAAGTAAGGATCAGTGTTCACTCAACTCCTGCTTTATTAAGACGTCTGTCAGCGGTGACACGGGGCCACCACAATCAGCAACTTCCAACAAACTATAGCAGAAAGGTTCACAGTAAGGATAAATATATTTGAGGTACAGTGTTGTGACATACTGTTTCACCCTATACATCCTGTATGATGTTTCACAAGTAACCTTACACCCCTGTGGCAGCACAAGCTTTCATTCATTCATTCTTTCTTTTATTAATCCTGTAGATCATGATACAATGATATAGGACAAGTCTTTCAGCTAATATACGTTATTAAATTTCAACAATCTTAATACTAAAAAATTATATAAGATATACAACATTTTATAAATTATACACTATATACTTCTGCTTATATCAGTAGCCTATATTTGAGAATTCATCGTTCAAATAGTCCTCCGTTGAGTAATAGCACCTTTGAATAAGTAACTTCTTCAATTCCCTTGTGAACTGATTTTTGTTTTCAATTTCTTTTATGTTGTTAGGCAATTTGTTGTAAAACATACAGTCAGCTACTGAAGGAGTACTATTATAAAGTGCTAAGTTGTGCCCATATATATGATAGGCTTTATTGTTTCTTGTGTTATATGTATTTTTTCATTCACTGTGCAGTTACATTTTTTTGCATATAGGATTGTTTCTTGTATATATAGCGGGTATATTTTGCACATCTGTTAAAGACTTCTCGGTCCCTTGCTGTTGCAGAAGGCTCTCGTATCACATACATCAGCAATATTTGCCCACCCCAAATTGGTTTAACAAGTTCTTTTTGTGGGTTGTTTAATGATGCCATCAGTAGCTAGACCACATACTGTGGAATGGCAGATCTGATGAATGGTCTGATCAAAGTACTATCCTGGTATTTGCATGGAGGGTGTCTTTTATTGATATATCTTTACTGCCTTGTTTTATACATTCTCTGAATACTGGTAATGATCTGTCAGATTGCATGGTGTCACATCCCAGAAGGTAGTGATCTTCCTGCCGTCTACTTTAGTTTCTAATTTCATCTAATTGAAAATACTCTTTTGACATTTAAATTTCTTATTTCTAGTGCTTGAATTCCACTGAGTCTTATTCTTCTTAACCAAAGTTTCACATTCACATATATATGTGTGGAAGTTGCCACTAATTTATAAATCTCCAACTTGATGTCCTTTCTGCCTTGTTTCTCTTTACTGTTCAGTGTCCCAAGATATTTCTTGATACCAGGGTATATATACTCGTATAGATTTTGTGGCTTTAAAGAAGTTATTTTCTATTGAATTGTATATTATCCTTCGGTGTAGTGTTCCAGACAAATTAAAAACATTGTGTGACCGTTTACAGCTGCACGTGGACGGGGACGGGGTGGACGTGGCCGAGGAGGTGGCAGTTGGCAGGGTGGTCCTGGTGGAGGTCCTGGAGGTGGCAGGGGACGGGGAGATAGACCTTGAGCATCATTCACATTGACTTGCAGTTTTGTAGAATGAGTGAATTCCAAGGGCAAGGTCCAAGAGATTTAAGTTTACAGACTAAAAAGTTATATTCCATTATTTGGACCTGCGTTCAGTATGTGAGTGACGTATGCTTGTCTTCAGAGAGAAATGTTTTCATGTTCACCATTCACTATAGTGTAAGCTAAATACAAATGCATTTTTCTGTATGCTGTATAATAAAATTCCTAATTTGTAAGATTCCTGTTCTCCTTGTGGTGCAGTGCATTAAACCTGGAGTAGGCAACTTTATGGAAGAACATTGCTGTAAGATTGGCAGGATTTCCCACATGGCACTCCTACGTATCATTACCCATATGATACACAATTTGATATCAGCAGCATGTTTATATCTGAAAGTAATGGTGATGATGCATTCTGAAGTGTAGCATTAAGCCATGCTCTCTATTCTTACACAAACTTAATGGTCATCTGGGAGTTATGATACCATGTTATAGCTATCAACATTTCAGAGAAACATGCTGACTCCATCTTCAGGGTAACGTCAAAATGTAAAAGTAATAAGATTTAAAAGTTTGTGACAATAGTATATCGCTACAACTATTATGTTTTTGGACATTATCCATCGTCTTATCTATTTTTTTGAAAAACCGTCCTGATTCTTTTTTAAAAACAGTGTTTCAGAGACTGGATTCTGTCCCTGTGCTCAGGTAAAACATACTCATTTGGAGCTAGCTCTATCTGTTGGACCCAACTGAGTAGGTTTTACCCGAGGACTGGGACAGAATCCAGTCTCCGAAATGTGTTATAAAAAAGAAACAGGACGGTTTTTTAAAAAATAGATGATAGATAATGTCCAAAAACATAATACTTGTAAAAGTAATGTTGGCCCTGTGGCAATCCTGCCTCCTGCCTGGTGGGTATGAAGCTGACCACTTAGTTCTATTGCAGTGTTTGGATGTATAAGGAAATGCCTGGACAGGCTTGTTAGAAGTGTCTTACTTGTAATGAAGTTTTCTTGGACAGTCAGCCATGCCAAGATGGAATGGATTCTGTTTTTGGAAAGTGCCCAAAGAGACTTCATTGCATTTGCTCACCATGAAAGCATCAAACTCTGCTGCTGGAATCTGAAAGCAAACTGCGTGGGGAATATAAGGACTAGTCATTTTTTATCTTAGGACACTAACTCGATATGTACCCATAGGCAGAAATAATTGTTAGTATTCAGACACGCTAAACTCGTTTATTTGGGTCATATGGGGTTACACAGATCTGCCAGTTGATAACCTTTTTCTGGTCTTTTGCATATTTTCATTATCTGTTTCAAAGTCAGCACAATACATCTTCACTTCAGTTCTTGTATAGGAATCTTTGGTAACATACTAGATTGATGGATGGAATATTTCAGGTAGACTAAAAATCCAGCTAGCCTGTGCTGCAATTGCAGGTAATTTCGGTTGTGATGGTACCTGCCTGAGGAACAGGTAGTGCTTATTGGCGACTGGGGGAGCTGCTATGTGACAGGTGAATGCCTGACCTTGCAGCTTTGCTTCTGAAGAAAATATGAAAGTGGTACATTTTCTTTAAAATTTTTGCTGGTTGAATGAGAATTCCAGATGCTTGGATACTGAATAACTGGGAATTTACTGTAGTTTATTTTGTATATCTAACATTTGCCAATTTAATAACGTATATTATCTTTACTTCCATAATTTCTGACCAGTAAAGTATGGGTCAGAGATAAATTCCTAACATCAAGGATGTGACAATGTGTTGCCTGGTAATGGCTGTCACATCTTGGGTGGTGGTTATAATGGAGCAATGGTTAAGTGACAATTAGCAGGGAAATGCCAAAGAAATTTGGAGAGAAACTTGCTCTTCACCTGCAATTGAGAAGTTAGCATTAACCACCTGAGCTACAGAACAGCCAATTTTATAACATACATTGAATATTCATGTATCCCTTGTAATTTGTAACCTGCAAGAGAAAATAATAATGTTTGGTATTCATATAATTTTCCTCTTCATGAACACCTGGCTGTTCTGACTTTGATACGCATTTTGCTTTTTATTAACCCTTTACGGTGGTTTGACGTTTGTCGTACCGTGGTATTTAAATGCCCCTGTCTGTGGTTTCACGTACTGTGTACGTTAAGCTGTAAGCTAAGTTTCGAAATGGCATAAGAATTGAAAGGATCACGCTAGAATTATGCAGTTTGGACTCCCCTGTTATGGAGAGAACGCAGTCGCTGAATGTACGCATGCAACTGCACCTCCTATGCCAGGAAGTCTAAAAATAAACTCGTGACTCACAGTGGTATCAACGCTGACTATAATTTACACATTCCAAACACATGATATGGTTTAGTGGTTAGGAAAGCTAAGAACAAACAGCGCCAGCGGTTGTTTGTGAAACGTGTTGAAAGGAACTGTCCTTTCAGTGGGTGCGTGTTTACTTGAACGAAAGAAGGGTCTATGTCGTCTAAAAAAAGTTACTCATAGCTTTCAAGTTTGCAGCTGTTCAGTCAGTCTAGTGTAAACGCGTGAGCTCGTAGTTACGATGGCAGGTCCATCTACAAGCCGTGCTCTCACGCAAGTAGAACAAACTGAATTTTTGGAGGAGATTTTGGACGACAAAGTAGTTAGTGATTTTAGTTCGGAAAGTGACAGTGAGTGTGACATTGACTACACACAGTTGGTGACACCTGGAACTCACGTGGTCAGTGATAGTGACCTTAGTGACAATGACGAAACCCAGGAAGAAACTGTACAGGTAGAATCAGGAAGTGTGTCCAGTGAGTTTGTGTGGGAAAACATAGACTCGTTTCCCGCTTCAAGAGAAACATTTTGTAATGAATATGGTCCCCAGTTCGACACTGCTGAACTTGATGTCGTGGGTTCATTTGAAAAAATTTTTGATATTGCCATTGTACAGCTCATTGTAGATGAGACGAATAGGTATGCTCAGCAAGAAATTGCTAAAAGTGTCAGACCCCTCACATTTCGCTCCAGGCTTTGGAAGTGGGAAGATGTTACAGTGGATGAGATGTACGTGGTGTTGGCTCTGATTATGTTGACTGGCATTGTACAGAAGCCTACACTCAGATCGTACTACTCTAAAAATCGCCTCCTGTTCACCCCGTTTTTTTCTGAGACTTTGCCCCTGGAAAGACTAGAGGCCATAACTAGATTTCTGCATTTTTCGGATAATAGTAAACAAAGTGAATATCAAGGACCTCCCAAACTTTTTAAAATTTTTCCAGTCATTCAGCACCTAAATGACAGATTCCAGAGTCTTTATCTTCCGGCCCAGAACATTGCAATTGATGAGTCCTTGACTCTATGGAAGGGTCGTTTGTCTTCTAAAAGACTCACAGAACGGCATTTTGTGGAGAAGATTCCAGCCACAGGAAAGAAGGCAAAGCCACAAAGAAGATGTGTCGTGTGCTCAAGACAAGGCAAAAGGAAGGATACTGTTTATTGGTGTAGTGATTGTGAAGCAGCGATGTGTTTTGATGAATGTTTTAAGAAATACCACACACAACTCCACTTCTAATCAACTTGCTTCCATCGTTGAGATAAAGGGCGGCCATATTATCAGGTAAGATTATAACACCATCTTTTAAGATTATTTCAGTGAAAAATTCATAATTATATCTCATATAGTTCAAAAGCTATGATAATTAATATAATTTAGACACAAAATTTAAATGGCCAACTAAAAAGTAATACCGCCGGAGGCACCACGAAAGCGATTTTTAAATCCCCACGCTCAAGGATTAAGGCTTGTGTGCTGAGAATTCTTCTGTCTTTGGTGTATTCCATTCAGTAAGAATAAGAGGAATGCATATAGGGTTTTGGTGGGGGAAAGCCAGAAGAGACTTGTAGGTAATCTGGCTGACAGCAACCAATGGGGGACTATGAACACAGTATCCATAAAATGTTTGGAAATTCTTGAGTACTTAAATGACTGACAGCTTCTCAAGAAGAATTCAGCTAGTCCTACCAATTTGATGTTTTGTCCATCAGTATTAAGCAACCACCAGTGGTCTTCCAAGAAACACTTTTTGGTCTACTAAATGTCTCTTGTGTGCATGACAATGAAGCTTTTAATTCCATTAAAGGCAGGGAATTACTGAAGTGGCTAAGGAACTCAGTATTTTTCAAGGACTGCTACATGAAATTGTTAGAGATGAAAATCACTTAAGTCACTTAGCAGAAAACACTGAGCTTCATATTCGATCTTCAAGTTGTTGGCATCCTCAAACGTTACGCCACTAAATTTTGCGTTTTTACTCAAAAGTAGTACCAAAACTTTTTGAATCTTCTAGGGAATGATTACTTCAAAGTGAAGTGTAGGAGCATTTCACCATTACGGCATTGCTCCCATACACAGAGCTATTACTTGTAGCCACTTACAGGCAGACTAGTTAGATGTCAATATATTTACCAGGGGTTTAAGTGCTCGTAATAGGGTGTGTGCTGAGACACCCGCTTATTAACTCATACCCTGAACAAACCAAACATTGAGCAGGTAACCACACGGGAGAAAAGCCCTGTAATTCACTGACATCTCCGTAACGTTGTAATGGTAATCTAACGATAACGCATCTCCATTCTTCGATATTAGGTTGGAAATAAACAATTGTATAGACTTCGCAGCGATGAAAATTTCTTCTGTCATCTGGATTATAACGCCCTTCACTCGCGTATTTGACTTGGTTTTCAACTGTCGACTTCCGCTGCGACGATAGATTGTAGGTTCGCCTGTGGGTACAATTAATGTGATCCGTGATACGGTCTGTGGCGCAACAGACTTCCTAGATTCCGTTGGTCACGGGTCAGCGGTGTAGATGATTAGGGAAGTGACCTATGCCATGGGCTATACGTGATCCATGGACTGGGCGGCCAAGGTGTGTTGCTTGTGTTTAGCGGTACAGTAGACGTCAAAGGATGAGGAGGTGGGAGGTGGATGTAGTGAATGCGGAGAGGAGTGGTTGTGCGTTTTGTGGTTTCGTAATGTAAACCATGTACAGTTTGTTTATCATACGAGTGCAAAATGGATGGAAGAAGAGTATACATCATAATTGCTTTTAGACCTGTTTCGCATAATGGTCTAATCAGTATAACCAAAGGCTAATTGAACATGGGGCGCCTTCCCTATCTTGGAAAGGATAGAGAGGTAAGCGATAGAATTCGTGTGTTGGGATACAGTTAAGTTAGATATCGTGTTTACATGAATATCACGTTCTGTAAGTAACAGGTGGGCGTCCTTCCGTTTCAGCATCAAAGTTCCATGGTTCCTCCAGCTTCACTATTACTTATGTCGGTGTTGGGTTCAATTGGAATGGCAGCTGGGTCTGTGTTACTTTTGGGACCTGAAGATCGCATCTCACTGACCCGTGGGGTTTGGCTGTCTCTTTTGGGATTAATATTCTTTGTGTCATTATTTGACCTCCTCAATCATGTTGCATTAAGTACATCAGTGGGTCATATGTTCCGAAAGAAGTATGAACTTACTTTGGCTGAAGTCCTGGACATTTCAAACAAGTAAGTGTATAGCATCTTGTTTCTTTGTTATCATACACTTGAGTGTAAGTTGCAGAAGTAGTTATTTCTGTCCAGCCCATCCCGCTCTCCACTACTTATTGCATCTCCTACCACGTTTTTAATATAAGCTGCTTTCCCAGTTTATGAACAGACAATTAAAGTTGACCTGTTCATCACAAATTATATGATGAAGAACACCGTGATACATAAAATCTTGATGTTGCTTATTGAACAAGAAGACCCTGAAATAACAATCCTCATAACACTGCATACATATAACAGAAATGTGTATATGTGATTCATGGTGTCCATCTGACCACCCTTACCCAGGAACTAACAGTGACATGTGTCCATAAAAAGTTATTCAATTTAGGAAGGAAAACTCAGATTTCTTTTTCTCTTTTCTTTTTAATTTTCGTGTTGCTTTGCATCAATTTCTTTCCCCCATTAGAAAAGCATTGGTGACATCATGGCAACGATTATATTTTCATTGTAATGGTTGTTACAGAATGTATTCTGTAGTTCACAAGAACCTAGAGACATTAATTGTATGTAGCCACAACGAACAAAATTGTTCCTCAAATTGCAGTGCTAATTTTTCTGTGTGGTCACACACTGTACTTTGTCTGAAATATCTTTAAGAGTGCATCAGACCTCAAGTGGGCAACCTTACAGAAGAAAAATCCTTTGTTTCCAGGGAGATGGTGTCACAAATTTGTTTCTAAGTGTGTGTTGTAATAGAATCTAGTAATTCACTAAAGATGTAACAGTCTTTGTCACTGTGTGGTTATGACACACCCTCAGAGAGACAATAGTAAATTGGGAAAGCCTTGTTCGATGCTTAAAATTGATGCTACTGTTAATGTGAGCCAGAACACATCAAATGTTCACCATGGATGCAGGAATACCTGGTCTGAAAATAAAGTTTGCAGACTCATTTTGGTAAAAGTGCTACATACGTCATTGCTGATCACTGTGGTCACCTTCAAAGTACTCCCTTTGGGAAGCTATGCACCAATGCCAGTGCCTAGTCCACCCTTCAAAACAATTTTGAACTGGTTTTGAGGAATGGCCTTCAAAGCTGTCATTGTTTTACTCCTGATGTCATCAAAGTGCCTTCCTTTCAATATTTCCTTTATCTTTGGGAACAGAAAAAAGTCACTCGGGGCTAGATGAGCTGAATAGGGAGAATGTTCCAGCACAGTTATTTGTTTACTAGCTAAAAACTCCCTCACAAACAGTGTTCTCTGGTGAGCTCATTTGGAACCTTTTTTACACACACCTTCCTCACATCAAGATCTTCAGTTAAAATTTTCCTAACTGTTTCTCCATTGATATTCACTTTCTCTGCTATGCTCCTGACAGTCAGCCAACAATTTTCACAGTTTGAATATATTTGCAGTGTTTTCTTCAGTTATGCTCGTTGCTTGCCGTCCTGATTTCTCTTTGTTAGTGATACTTTCTCTTCCCTCAGAAAAACGTGTCACCCACTTGTAAATTTCTGTTGCCTTCGTAGCATTATCCCTGTAAACTTGCACTAATATCTCTCTGATTTTGCTTACACTCTTGCCAAGTTTAACAAGAAGCTCTGACATTCTCACAATGGCACACCAAAACACTCTCAGAGAATAAAAGATACCACTCGGAATGAGACTGCCATAGCTCAACAACAACAACACAACTGTGACACACTGATATGCCAACATCATCAAACCATACTGAGTTTTCTGTCCACTGCTGCCATGGCAAGCACACGGTGGCAAGTTCATTAACTTTGTTGTCAGACCACATATACCCACACAGGATACTATAAAGGTTTTGTACATACATATATATTATTAGCTTATCTGAACTAAACTAAGTACTCTTTGCCAAGTATAATTAGAATGATAAAGTCAGGGAGGATTGGATGGACAGGGCATGTAGCATGAATTAGGGAGTAGAGGAATACATGTAGGATGTTGGTAGGAAAGCCAGAAGGAAAGAGAGCACTAGGAAGACCAAGATGTAAGTGGATGGATAATATTAAAATGGAGCTTAGAGAGGTAGAATTGGGTGTTAAGGACTGGGTTTATCTGGCTCAGGATAGGGACCAGTGGAAGGCTCTTGGAACACAGTAATGAACCTTGAGGTTCGAATAAAATATTGGGAAATTCTTGAGTAGCTGCATAACTGACAACTTCTCAAGAAGGGCTTAGATCAGTGGAGTTGGACCTGACTTACTTACTTACATCCTTACTAGAACCAAGTGTAAATGGGAGCAACTTTACAGGGTAATACCATGTCCTTGAGACTCAGAGCACATTCCTGGATGCCCGTGAACATCTCAGCATTATATTTTTATTTGTGCTTACTAATTGCAGTATGGTGTGGACTGGATTTATCTGGCTCAGGATGGGTTCCTGTGCTGGGTTCTAGTGTACATGGTAGTGAACCTTTGGATTCCATAAAATGCTTTCAATTTATTCACTAGATGAGAAAGTATTGGCTTCTCAAGGAGGACTCTGCAAACATAACATGTCATAAATTACATTAATCGAACCTATCAGCAAGTTTCAGTATGTTGGAGATATAAAAATATGGCAAAATTTGAGGAAGAGAACATGTTACTATGTTAAATGGTTCCCTTGTTACCTAACAGCATGGCATGTTCTGTGGCTGTGGATGGCAGACACAACATTCAGATATGGAGAGTAGCTGTGAATTTTAGATCTGGAACTAGAAAATATTGGTTTAGAGGGATTTCTGTTTAGGTGGTGCAGGTATACTATAAGATTTGAAATAAATCATATCAGACTTCACAGCTGAGTGATTAGAACATCTGTTTCATATTCAGAAAGTATATGTTTCATATCTTGGTTTCACTACTAGCTCATCATTATCATCATGTCCAGTGTTGGCATTCTTCAGATAGTGTAAAACAGAATCCTTCCATTGTGTCAGAGCTCTTCCCAAACTTCCTTTTTCCTTTTGGTTGAAGTTTTAAAACCCTTTTTGGAGTCCTGTCAGAGCCTATTCTGTCAATGTGACCTTCCCAATTTCATCTGTATTGTTTCATAAATTTGGTTATTTTTTAAATTTGAAGTTTTCACAGTTTCTTCATTTCTTACATGGTCTAAATTGGTATATCCTGTATTAATTGTCTTGAATCAGCCATCATGCTTGCCTTCCCATGCACACCCTGTTTTCAGTGAAGAGGCTCTGATGGCCAGGATAGAAGGGACAACCATTATACCAGAGTTGGGGGAAATGCTAGCACATTGAGTCTGTTCAGACTCTTAGGGTTAGCACATGAACCACTAGATGGCCCTACTTTGGCTAGCAGCAGATTGATGGGACTCCTTATTGCTTCCAAAGTATTACATAAACAGGGCAGGGCTACTACCTGTCTTGTATTTTATTGTGGTTTTCCCAAATGTGCAGTGGTATACCTGGGAAGTACCTTGAAATAGGCTACACTAAGCCCTTCCAGATCCTTTCATCAATGGGGGAGTACAGCAGGACTGTGAACCCTTCAAAACCCTAAGTTCATCCAAATAATATTTCAAAATTCAGTGCCTGTTTCACGGAGAACACTGTGTCTCCACTACAAACACCAGCCAGTTAATGCTGTATAGGGACACAATTGCTGTTTATTATGAGAATAGTAATAAACATATTGTAATGTGTTTTACGTTACTGATCCCACTTCTGACACCAGTGTAACGTGTTTCGCTACCGAAGACGCCGTAGAGATGGTTAATTGGGTTTATTTAACAATCTACAAATAACGGCTACAATTACTTATCACACAGTTGCGGGGTTTCACACTTTATAACCCTAATCGCATTAATCTGTTAACACTGTTGCGGGGTTTCACGACTTATAACCCTATGCGCAAATCAGTTCACTCTGTCTTCAGTAGTC